CAGTGGTACCCAGGATCACGGTGATGCTCAGGATCACAGCATTGCCCATGATTGCGGTGGTACCTGGGATCACAGTGGTACCCGGGATCACAGTGGTACCCAGGGTCATGGTGATGATGCTCAGGATCATGGCAGTGCGTGAGATCACGGTGATGCCCGGGATCCCAGTGGTACCCAGGATCATGGTGATGCGCGGGATCCCAGTGGTACCCAGGATCATGGTGATGCCCGGGATCCCAGTGGTACCCAGGATCATGGTGATGCTCAGGATCACAGTGGTACCCAGGATCACAGTGATGCTCAGGATCATGGCAGCACCCAGGATCCCGGCAGTGCCCAAGATTGCAGTGATGCCCACCATCACGGCTGCGGGATGCCCTAACCACTACCCGGAGCGCGACCCCTCTGGTGCCGGGGCTCTGATTTGCACTATGTACAATGGCCACGTGCTAATGTGAACCTGACGTACTCTTCTTTCCGCGGGAATTTCGGGAACGAACCCCCCCTCTTTGTGCGGACGTCACCGAGGGGCTTGAGCCCTTCCCAGCTGACCTGAGGATCTGCATCCACGCAGACCCCCGGGACCCCCAAATCAGAGGTGGCCCCACTGTCTTCCAGTCCCCCTCCCCAGCACCCCCAGAGCCTCCTCTGCTCCTGCTGAGCTCAAATCCACCCCTGTCCCCCTCTGCTTGGGTCCAGCTCCCCCAGGGATGGCCCTGGCTCTGTCCAGGCCGTCTTAGGGTGGCAGAAGCCCCCAAAAATGAGGTGCTTATCTACATTTGGCATCTCCCCATCTCATAAGGGCATCGTGTGCCTCATTGTCGCTGTGTGTGGAATGGGTCCCTGTGGGGGTGGGATGGTGCTGGGACCTCCAGGGGGGGTCCAGGCTGCGGCTGCAGGCACAGGGAGGGGGTTTTGTAAAAAAATTGTTTCAAAGAAGGAGGAAAACAAAGGAAAAAAAGGACTTTGGAAGAATAAAATAAAATATTTCTGTGTTTCGGACTGCCCAGAGCTGTCACTGGCGCTTGTGGATGCTCCGTGGGACCGGGTCTCCATCCTGTGGGGTGGTGGGGAGGACCTGCTGCTCCCCAGTCTTGGAGCACTGCTGTTACTGGTGTCACTGGTGTCCCCAAGCCCAGGCTGGTGCTGCCACCCCATCCCCTGGTGCTGTGGCCCCGTCCCTTCTCTCCATCCCCTGGGCTGAGCTGGGCACCCCACACCCCGGTTGGCTCCACCACCCCCACCACCTCCACCTGCTTCAGTTTCCCTCCCCGCCTCAGTTTCAATCAACCGATCCCATGGATTTTAACCAATCCCATCAATTTTAACCAATCCCGTGGATTTGAACCAATCCCATCAATTTTGATGGATCCCATGGATTTTAACTGATCCCATGGTTTTTAGTGGATCCCATCAATTTTAACCATTCCCATCAATTTTAATAGAACCCATGGATTTTAGCCAATCCTATCAATTTTAACCAATCCCATGGATTTTAGCGGATCCCATCAATGTCAAATGATCCCATGGATTTTAACCGATCCCATCAATTTTAATGGATCCCATTGATTTTAATGGATCCCATCAATTTTAACCAATCTCATCGATTTAAACCGATGCCATGGATTTTAACTGATCCCATTGATATTAACCAATCCCATAAATTTTAACCAATCCCATGGATTTTGACCAATCCCATCAATTTTAACCAATCCCATGGATTTTAACCAATCCCATCAATTTTAATCAATCCCATCCATTTCAATGGATCCCATCAATTTTAACCAATCTCATAAATTTTAACCAATCCCATGGATTTTGACCAATCCCATCAGTTTTAACCGATCCCATGGATTTTATCAGCCGAGCACCAGGCAGCATCATCCCCCCATGGTACCAATGGTGGGCACCTCCTCCAGCCCCAGGCGCTCCCCACTGCTGCCAATATTGGGATTTTTTTCCTAAAAAAGAAGACTCAACAAAACATAACTTGAAAAATAATATTTAACCAAAGACACTTTACCCTTTTCTTTTATTTAATCAGGGTTGGAAGCCTGAGTCTCCACAAAGAGGTATTTCTCCTTTATTTTTAAAGCACATTTTCTCCTTTTTTTTGAAAGAAAATCTGTATTTCTAAAGATGGTTTCATTCGTTTCCCCATCCACAACCCTGTATTTAATGGGATTTTGATATTTTTTTTAAGCACATTTAGGTCTTTTTAAAGGTTGTGGTCGCCTTCCCAGAGCACAGGGAATCCACTCACGGTGCAGAGAAAAATTGAGAATTATATAGAAAAAGAGAATGTGAGCATCACTGCCGCTTCTCATTGGATTCTCTGGTGCATGATAAAGCACGATCGCGAATTAAAACTCCCCTGTGGAGCCATTTTTAACGTTTCTTTCCCACCTGGATGAGTTTGGGTCGCATTTTGTGACTTTTTCCGCCCTTTTTTTGTTATAATGAGCAGAAATCGCTCATTCTCTGCCACCCAATTTAAATCAAACTGGGTGCGCTGGCGTAGGGCGCTCAGGGCAGCACCATTTCCTTAGGAAACACCAGGAAAAATCCCCCTTGGGCTTTATTGGGGTCACCCGGAGACCCCGAACACCCCCTAAAGAGCCTGGACCCAAAATCTCCTTGGAAGAGAGAAGAGCTGCACGTGATGCATTTTTTCCCAATAACCTCAATTAAATTTTGTTGTCCCGACAAAATGAACAATTTTGAGACACATCCGTGGGGTCCGAGTGGGCGCCACGAGGTTTGGGGTTCGCTGAGGGGTCCGGCAGCCCCCGAAAATGGCTCCATGTGCCGGGCAGCGATGCGAACTGGGGGTAAATGTGGAGCTGTGCCGGGCTTCATGCCCCATCCTTGGCCAAATCCATGGCCAAGTCCATGGCCAAATCCATGGCCAAACCCATGGCCAAGTCAATGACCAAATTAGTGGCCAAACCCATGGCCAATCCCATGACCAAGTCCATGGCCAAACTCTTGGCCACTGCAGTCCCCATCCCGGGAGTCTCCAGGATGCAGCAAGGGGGGGTTTTGCGCCACCCCATCTCCCCCATCAGCGTTGTCCGAAGGGATGCAGGAAGGACCTATCTGTGCAGGGGCCATCGGAGCAGAGAACTCGAGTCAAAACCCAATAAATTACACCCAAAAAAACCCCAATGATTTTCATACCCAACATCCAAGCAAATCCCCCTGGGGCCTGGTTCGGGTCCCTCTGCCCCAGCCCCAGGAATGGGGGTTGATGAGGGGTTATGGGGCTCATCCTTTCCTCGCTTGGGGTGGCTGCTGTCGGTTTTCGGATGGGGATGGCTGGGTCTTGGTGCCGGAGCTGCTGGGTGTTTCCATTGAGACCTGCGGGGAGACAGGCGGGGTTGGCCAAATTGCTGAGGTTTTGGCCCAAAATGGTGCAAAATCTGGTTCTCAGCAGGGAGGGAAAAGCCGCATTCGGGTGCTGGCTCCCAAACCTTCGTGCTTTGCATTTGCAGACTTCCCAGTAAGGGTTTGCATGGGAAATGTCCCCACACCTGAGCCTGGGACTGCGAGACGTCCAAAAACCCACAGTTTTTACCCCAAATATGGGTTTTGGGGAGGATGGAGAAGGGAAGCAGCTGAACTGCTCGTCTCTTCCTGTCTCCTTTATGGGGAGGGCTGGTGTCATGCCGTGGTGACGCCAGGCTGTCCCCAGGGTGGGTGACACCGGGGGACCCCGCGTCAGCCTGGAGCCGGGAGCAGGAGTGGGGCCGAGCTGGGGGTCACAGCCAGACCTTGGGGGGACAAAAACCTCTCCCATGGGGGCTGGAGATGGGCAATGGCTCCGGCAGGGACCAGACATGGGGGGGTGGTGATGGGCGCTTCATTTTCTGGCCCTGGGGCTTCCTCCCCATCACCCCCAGGTCCTGCTTTTATTTCAGATCAATCCCCCCGCAGCTTTGCCTCCTGCTTTTCTATTTTCTTGCGCAATAGCAGAGCCCTTTAATGCTCCAGAGAGGAGCCTGGAGAGGAATAAATCAGCCCCTGCAGTAACTCAGCCCCGGGCGCTGCTGAGGCAATGCAGGGGGGGCAGCCCATGTGTCCCCCCCAGGCGTGCAGATGGGACAGAGCCTGCCCTGGTGACAGAGGGACAAAGCCTGGTGCTTCCCATTGCTGTCCCTGCGGGGTCTGTGATGTGCATGGGCACATCCACAGTGCTCGGGGAGCACCCAAAACAAGGCTGGGACCTGATATGGGGGTGTTCTGGGGTGCTCAGGCACGAGTATCTCAACCCAAAACTTCATCACATCCCAGCCCAAAACTTGATCATATTCCAACCCAAAAATCTCATCACAACCCAGCCCAAAACTTCATCATATTCCAACCCAAAACTTAATCACCTCCCCACATCTGGAGCTAACGAGGTCTGACGCCAATTAATGCACTCACAGCACAATTCTGAGGATGCAGGAGCCCCTGCGCATGCAGGGATGGAGCCCTATGAGCCCCAACCCCAACTACTTGCCCTTCCCTCCCTTCTGCACCAAAACCCTCGGCTCCAGTCAGGTCCAGCCCTATAAAAGGAAATTAAATGCAAAGCCCGTCTCAACATCCCCCAGCTCCCAGGTGTGTGACATTCAGCGGTGAAATACAGACACATTTTGGAGGTGTTCCTTGGGGCTGGGCCCATCTCCTCACAGGGTTCATAAACCGGGCGCGTTTCACTGCTCGGTGGAAGATTTTGATGGAAAAAGGGAGAGTTTTTTGATGGTGAAATTAATGGCAGCCTCAGTTGTCCCTTGGCCATGTCCTCGTGCTGAGAGAAGGGCTGCTCTGGGAACATTTGGGACATGGAGACGATGCCCTCTGTGGTCCCACCCCACGGAGCAGCCTCCAACAGCCCCAGTGTGCTCATGGCTGGACTGAGTATCCCTGTGGTTGGATCGAGCATCCCTATGGTTGAACTGAGCATCTCCATGGCTGGACCTCGAGCGTCCCCATGGTTGGACCCTGAGCATCCCCATGGTTGGACTGAGCATCCCCATGGCTGGACCCCGAGCATCCCCATGGTTGGACCCTGAGCATCCCCATGGTTGGACTGAGCATCCCCAGCCACATCTGCTCCCGCATCCCTCATCCCGCATCCGTGCATGGGATCAGCACTGGGATTTTGGGGTTGTCCTGCATCCCGAGCACTGACCTGGTCCTTCACCCCAATGGAAAGAAGAAAAACAACCCTGGGATTTGGGCAACTCCTCATCCCTTCCAGGACCTCAAACCAAAAGTGAAAGCAATGGGATTCCTCCCAGTGCACCCCCACATCCCCAACCCCCAGAGGACCCCAGCACCGGGGCCGGCTCCAATCCATCCCAGGGGTCCCACCTTGCCCAGTTTAACCAGTACTGAGCAGATAGACCCACTTCTGCAGGACTGGTGTGGGGTGGCAAAGCGCAGCCACCCAGGACTCTCATTTCTTGCCAACCCGGGGGGATTTCAGCTCTTTTTGAAGCAGCTGCTGCTGTAAATGCATTTTTTGGAGCAGATTTGGAGAGGGAAGGGAGCTCTCCCCAATGCCCTGGCGCTTTAATCCCGTATTTCTAAATAAAAGCAAACGAAGCAGCCGCCCGACAAAGCAGACGCCAGCCAAGAGCAACCGTCCCCAAAGGGAAGATTTATCCAAGGTCTTTCAGGAGACGCAATTAAGCGAGGGCACCGCCAGAAAGACGATAAATCCAGGGAGACAAATGAAGGGCGAGGAACATCGCCCCGCTCCTTCCCCCCCAGCATCTCCAGCTTCATTTTCTCCTCCGCCAGGAAAAAGAAACCATTTTAATGTGCTCAAAAACTGCAAAACCATGAGCTTGGGGGACTTCAAACAGGATTTTTCCTGCCCGAGGGCTCAATCCCTCTTTCCTGGATGATGTCTCCCGGTTAACAAGGGCAAATCCAGCTTTCTCATATTAAATATCTCTTTGATATTTAATCGCCCGGGTTCCAGTGCAGACCAGTGTGCTCGGCACTGCTTTACATTATAAAATTACAGCCCCGTCGTGGGCGCTGGGTTAATTCACTTAATTTCCCACCCCAGCATCGCTCCCCTTGCGGCTGGGCCCTATTTTTCCTATTTGCTTTGCGAATCTCCCTTCTCTCCCCAACCGGGAGCCGCTGATTTAGACCTAAAAGCTGCCGCAGAGGTGGTAAAAAGCAGATTATTATCAATTCAGGTGAAGGATGCTTCGCCTCCAGGCAAGCACTGGAGCCACTTGGGGTGAATTTTGGGGTGAATATTAACAGGGAATCAGTGCCCAGAGAGCACCACGCTCATGAGCACAGGTGATTGTACACGGAGGCTTCTTTCATTTAGCAGAAAGGTCTTAATTAAAGGTTTTAATTGCTCATTTTTTGGCTGATTCAATGACCGGACACGGGGGTGCACATCAGCCCCCATACTTGTGAGAACCCCCTTCCTCCCAGTGATGGGAGGGACCCCAAAAACCCCACATCTCCCCAAGATGAAAATGGCTTTAACAAAGCGCACAGCTCGTTAGCACATCCCAGTTATTAAAGACCATCCACCAAGGAGACCCGTGCTGATGCCACCTCTCTTGTAACCCAGGGAGGGGGGAAAAGCTGAGCAGCACCCCCATATTTTGGGATCATGCCCAGAGCACCTCGTGTCCCCCAAAAACCAGGATAATTCAGCAAAACTCACAGGGCAGCAAAAAAGTGATGTCTAAAAGAGGATGCGGGAGGCTCTGGGGGGAATGTGGGAGGCTGGGGGGGATGCAGGAGGCTTTGGGGGTATGCGGGAAGTTTTGGGATGGATGCAGGAGGTGTTGGGGGGATGTGGGAAGATTTGGAGGGATGCAGGAGACTCTAGGGGGATGCAGGATGCTTTGGGGAGGGTGAGATAGGTGCTGGGGGATGCGGGAGGCTCTAGGGGGGATGTGGGGGTTCTGAGGGGATGCAGGAAGTGCTGGGGGATACGAGAGGTTCAGAGGGGATGCAGGAAGCTCTAGGGGGATACAGGTTGCTTTGGGGGGATTAGGGAGGCTCTGGGGGGAATGCGGGGAGCTCTCAGCCTTTCCCATCATTTTCTAAATAACCAATTCTGCCCCAAATAATTTAAATCCATGCATGAATTTACAGAAGTGGCCGTTTTTCCCATTGGGTAGGAGAGATCTTAGCAAAGCTTTGCAGGAAAATCAGCATTTAAATTCGGCACATCCCTAAATGAACCCCCTTGGGAGCTGGTGGGTGCTCGCACCCAGAGCTGGCCTGAAATTCGGGGCTGTTCAGTGGCAAAACCCCAGGGCAGGAGGGTGCTGAGGGGGGGGGACATCACCGGGGGCAGAGCCCCCCATTGCTCAGGCATCATTTGGACCACTTTGCTGTGATTTATTTCGTCTCAGAAAACACCATTTTCCTCCCTTTCCCGTTCCCTCCAGCCTTAACAAAACGTAAAACCAGAGTGGAAAGCAGATTATGTTTGCACTGTGGTTTTCCCCCAAAATCAAAGGTGCCGGGTGCCCATCAGCCTTGTTAGGCTGTGCCTGTGATGAGGCAGGGACGGGGGACCAGGTTGCAGTATCCCGTCAGCTCCCTGTCCCAATTGGGGGTCAATTTTGGCCAAAATTGGGGTCTTGCACCCCCCATAGCAGGGGCTGAGCTGGCTCCTGGGGTAAATTTGTTGTTTCTGCATGAAAAGAGACCACGGGCACCGAATTGGGAAGAGAAACGGCACACGAGGGTGCACCAGGCTGGCCCCAATTGCAGGCAGAAAATAGGAGGGAAAGGGTCTTTAATGGGCAACCCTTCATGGTGGGTGCCAAGAAAAATGAGGTTATTTTTGAGTTGGTTTCCCCAATTTCTCCGGCCGCCAGCACCAGGGTTGATATTCGTTACCAAGTCAAAGCCAGAAGCCCTGATCCTTCTCAGGGGACATTGGGGACCATCAGGAGCTGGGCTGGGCCCCCATGAAGTGTCCCCAAAGTCCACAGCTTGGGGACATCCTCCAGAGCCCTCCTGGGTGTGGGAAATGTTCACACGGAGCCAACCCTTCTCCCCCTGTCCCACTTTCTCCCAGTCCGATAAGACCCAAAGCACTGAAAAGGGGATTATTGACTCTGAAAGTGGGATTATTCGCCCTGAAAATGGGATTATTCACCCTGAAAATGGGATTATTCGCCCTAAAAGGATGCTCAGGGTGGTGCTGGGTCCATCAAACCCCGCTCAATATTTTATTCCCTGCCTTGTAGGATACCTACGGATTCAAAGGGATTATGGATCCTATCCCCTCTGCAACGCTTTAGAAGAGGGACAGAAAAGGCCCTAGGGCCACCCAATGGCTTCGGCCACCAAATGTCACCCGGGCAGCCAGGACAGGGCCTTGGTCATCATGGGCCGATGGCCATGGGGCTGCCGCTGGCCCTGCTCGTGCGGCTTCAACACCTCGGTGGCCCGAGCACATTTTGGAAGGTGTCTGCTGATTTATGCCCCCACCCAGGTTACCGTGGGAGGAGAAATCAGGGTTTTTTAAGTCCTTATTTGAAACCAGACCCCACTAAATCAGATCTGGGCTTTAGGGCTCTGCACGATGGCCCCGGTGAGGTTGGGAATCACCACCTCCTCCTCCAGCACTTGGGGTTCATTAAAGCAAATCATCCACACATGGAGCATGAAGAGGGGGCACCCATTGCGCGTTTTCCCCCCCCAGGATGACGGAGCCAGGGAGGATACTCAGAGGATGCAGGAGGGGGCCATACGTACCCCGGCTCAGTGCGACGCCGACATGGACCAAGCCCCTTCCATCCTCCAGACGGAGAAGGCGTAGCTGAGCCTCTCGTGGGCCAGGTAGTTGCAGCTGGCGATCTTGTGGTCCAGCTCATCGCTCTGCAGGACCTGGTACAAGAAGTCTATGTAGCGGGCGGCCAGCTTGAGGGTCTGGATCTTGCTGAGCTTGTCGGAGGGCAGCGTGGGGATGATCTTGCGCAGCTCGGCGAAGGCGTCGTTGAGCGACTGGGTCCGCTGGCGCTCCCGCACGTTGGCGATGACCCGCTGCGTGTGGGCATCCTCGAAGGACTGCGGGACGGGGCTGCGCTTGCTGCGCTTGCCCTGCGGCGAGGGGACGCCGCCGTCCC